GATATTATTAATTAAGATAGAAATATGACGTGAAAATTAAAAGGTAGATATATATGCGAATGATTTATCGCGCTCAAAATATAATTTTGAAGGTATTTTCTGTTTAACATGTCGCGAGAACGCGTAAATCCGCTTAAGATCGCTCGGGAATAAGATCCAAGGAGGGCTCGGCGCTGCCGAGGAAGTCATTCACGTGTAATAATTAGGCGTAGGTATTTTCACGAGCTCTTAGTAGGCGTAGGGGATGTCGCTTGTACGTCGTCTACTCCGACGTGTTCCAAGTACGACCATTATTTATGATCGCAACGAATGCAGCTGCGCCAGCGACAGATATCTTCGGGACGACAAACCGCCCGACGTCGTATTGTCACCCGTAAAATTTTCGTACGCACGAGCCTAGGGCTTCTCATTCGACGGCAGTAAATTTTGAACGTCCGACGGGCGCAGTCGGGAGATATTTCGCGAAATATCGTACGTTTCACCAAGAACACGACCGGCAGAAATTTGCCTTTTCGACATACGTAACGTAATTTAAAGTTTTAATGGGATCGCACATCTCGTAACTGCGTGGTACCGCGCGTGTGCTCTGAAAGCGTATACCATCGTAATTATAGAATATTTCAACGTTGTAATAACGAACTTATATAATTTTATAATTTTGCTGTGAAACATCGCGAATCTGGCACGAATCTTAAAACCAAAAGTATTCGATTATAGCACCCGCGCGCGCATGTCTCATCAATCTTCCTGAACATTGTTGTAAATTTTATCGAAGCTCGATTCAAATCTAACTTGCTATTAAAGCAACATCTTTGGACATTTTTAAGCGATCATCGTGTCGTTGCTGGCTGCATTAGGCTAGATGATCTCACGCTCTGACCAGCGGTTTGCGAGTGACCGATATAATTCAGCGAGACATTTATCTCGAAATAGCCTGTCTCTTGATGAAAAGAAAGAAAAAAAAAAAAAGAAAAGGTCGCCATATTAATCCTTGTAAAGTGCATTTTACGAGCAACTGGGTTGTGTCGCATTTATCGCATATGTGGTTTAACACACGCGCTTTACATACACAACTCAACCGCCAGTGTCCCGTAAACGACACGCGGTCCCGTAAACGACACGTGGAATTTCGCATTGCTCAATTCCACGTTGTTGTTTGTGCGCCAAAATAACGTACGAAATTTTCATTCGCGTTGCTGTCGTAACGCCAGGAATCTTCGAGAGACATCGCGAAAACGACGTACGCGACGGAATCGGATGACAAAATGTAATATCCTCACGTTCGTATAAAACTCTCCAAAAATTCTCTCCGTTTTAATCAACCGTTACATTTTAACACTATTTAATAGAGTTTAATGAAACGAAACACGTGTAAGTATATGTGTTATAGCATATATGATTAATTAATTAAAACCACGATAACATCAATGTGCTATTGTGATGCATTAAAGGCGGTGACCTATATGAATCTACATCGTGAAAGTTTGCCCGATCGAATATTCAAACTATAACAAAATATATTTTTTGTTAAACTAAACAAAATGCTATATGTTTATCCGTGAGTTGCTAATTAATAATTAATTTAATAATTAATAATTAATTTGTGACATTTACTTTTTAAAATCTGTATTTTAAATTTGATAATAATGATGACATTCCATCTTTGTACGTTACGCGAAAGTGTCATAAATGTTAGAGAAATTAAATACATTTATGTGCAAGAAAAAAGTTTGCTTGACCGTTCTCCAGACGATCATAAATCTTTCCGAGAATTCACATCTTAACGAGAATAGCTTCCGATGAAATACGGATCACGGGACAAGGTCTGCCGTACAACGGAAATAACGTCATTTCTCGTCATCCAAGATTGGAATTACCTTGAAAGCCGGCGATATCCGCCCGCGAGTACGAAAGTAGAAATTAATATTTGCCATTGTATTCATCTTGCCGCTTCCCTCCGCGAGAGCCGCCGCTGCTGCTTCACGTGATAAGCAACAAATTACTTTTCCTTGACGACGCAAATCCGCAAGACCGAGGAAGAAAGACGAGAGAGACGAAATAAATAAACGTCGGGTGCAAAACGCGCGGTGAAATAAACGTGATGCGAGGTCAAAAGGCAACGGAAAGGTATGTCTGTCCGCGCTGCAGAAAATGTCGCTTTCGTCGTAATGTCGATACGTGGAGAACCACTTTGCAGCGAGCGTTATACCACAAAAGAAACCATCCGTCTCTTCGACATTAATGATATTATATATCTCCGAATAAAGTATAATACCTAAAAATGAGAAAAATAAGAAACATTTTGTGGATTTAAGTTTCAGTTTCAGAGATATTTCTTAAAAGAAATATGTATAATTACGAGAGACTTGGATTCATAATTTACAAAGCATTTTTTTTTCTCTTTTTCTCTTTTTTTTCACGCAAAGCATTTACAAGCACAAAGTATTTTTACTTGAAAATCTTTTGGCGTAATGTAAAGCGAAGAATGCAGAATTCTTCTCGGAAAAATTATTTCGTTCCCGATACGCGAGGGAAAAATTCATGGCCAGATGGCTCTTACAAAGAGATTCGAATATATCGTTCGCAGAGTCGAGGATTGATCCTACGCGGCGTCGTAAGAAACGATAAAGCGCCGCCGATTTCCATACCGAGAAACGAGTCTCGCGGCAAAGATTTGTTACTAATGGAATTGCGCCCGTGCATGAGGCTCTCTACGTGGGAGTTTAGATTAAGCAATTCAGATGCGAGAGCGCCGGGTCTTGATTCTGGTAAAGAAGCGTGTACACGCCGCTACTATACATAAATTGCGAAAAATAATGTCTCTCGTATAATTCGCTGCTCGCGCGACACCAAAGAATCTCTCTTCTCATTAAGTCCTGTTATTTTTCTACGAGAAATTACCGCGGGTTGACTCTACGATCTATTGTTTTCAATATCCACACAATACTATTTTCTATTGTTATAAATGTTAATCGTGCGTCATTGTTTTATATGAGTAACTTCATTGTTAATAATTTTTTTCCTTTGTTCATCCAAAGTAATGGTAAAAGATAATATTAAAAAATGCGATAGTGTTTTTTAATGTATGTTAACGAATTGTGGTCCTTGGCAAAGAATACACTCCGGATTTATAGGAAATATTGTTATTGCTCGCCATAACTCTGGGTTTCCCGCGAGTTTAGTTTTTACATGAATGCGATGATTAATGATGTCGAAGTAAGAGTAATGACGTTGCCATCTGCTCTTTTAACAATATAAATGTTAGATGCTGTCAGATTTTTATTATTTGCTCGGAAGTGATGCATATTAATTACAATGAAAACTGGTGGTAAAAGAAACACGTTTATAATAAATTATAAAAAGAAATTAGAAATAATTAAACATCATTAAAAATTAATAAATATTGTTTTAAAAATATATGAAAATTAAAAAAATAAATAAAATCAAACTTTATGACAAACATTCTAAATGTGGTAGAAAATTTCGAAACGCAAAAACAGTTCAATGATTCAATTCTGTTTTTTAAGTATTTTTTGATATAATTATTTTATTTTAAAGGATTTTAAAGATATATTTTGTTTGACATAAGTTTAGGATACAAAATCCCTGCATTTCTAATAACAGTAAATTCATTCGTATTTGCATTCGAGAATAAATTATTTCTAATTGGAGGCATTTCGCGCGTGGGATACGGTAATTTCGTTTCGCACAGCGTATCGATATTTCGAGTGCGTGTTGTTGTTATTTCTGATATTATTTGGGGAACCGTGTTTCAGGCACGCCAACGAGATTGAAAATGTGGTCAGAATTTGCGGTGCGGCGCTTTGTAACGGACGTCACATTTTAAAG